TTATGAATGGAAGTATTTATTGTGAAAAATAAAGTCTAAATCACAGATTTAATCTTCAGCAATCTAAATACCCCTTAATGCCTTATGAGAAACCGGGTGCTGGATTTCAATTAATGCTACAGCAGTAGCACCAAGTTGCATGACCTTTGCGTATATATATAGGTATATAAATTTGCGCGTGTGCGGATTTTTATATACTACCAAGTGAGTAGGCCTACACACACACCCACACACAGGCACACACCACACACACATATATATATGTGTGTGTGTGTGTGTGGTGTGTGTGTAATGACCCACCATCGACAACTGCTTCGTGAATCAGGGAGCTCGTAATGGTGATAACACACATAGATCTTACCATGTATAACTTCCCGACGGTGGCCTGCAGAGTCACCTACACGGACACCTATGAAGGAGAGGCTCATTGCTCTACTCCACAAGCTTCCTACAAGCCTCCACAACCGTCGTATAAGTCGCCCATCCCCTCCCATGATTAAAAAGCAGTGCCATGAATATATATCGACTTCGGATTCTATAAATATCAAAATCAGCAAACTTGACCCTTGGGAGTTTTAAATACCCTGTATATTTTTTGAGTTTTCCGTTATTTAACTGATAAAAATCCAAAGGCTGTAATATGAATTACCAACATGTAAGACTTAATAAGGGGAAACCTTATTTTTTAGGACAAGCTTTATAATTCTTAATACTTATTGTGTGTATGTATGTGTATAAAAGTATATATACATATATATGGTTGTGTTTAGTACCGTGAGTCTTGAAACCAAATCAGCTTAGTAAATCCACTTATTAATACCTTGTTAATATATTTACCAGCATTTTCATGTGCGCCTGTGAGAGTATGGACTTTATATTCTTATCAATACTTATATAGACTAATGGGAAAATGTCTATTGCTCTTTGGTCATAAGGTACACACAAAATAATAAATTTCTTAAATATTTCCTATTTATCAGCATATTTCATGATATGAGCACAGTTTAGTCCTATTATCGTTGTAGTCCTTGCAGTACACCTTATTTGAATGAATTACAGTTCACTAGCTATAATAATAATAATAATCGGGTGTTGGTTATTATGACACATGGACAATATATACAGAAATACATTCAAACACAACGAGAAGCCTATAAGAGCTAGAATTTTAAGCTGTTTATTTGTATACATAGTTTACAATTGAATGGATGCGTATGTATGTTTACAATAGAATATGCATATAAGTATACATTACGTATGTATATATTCGTATATATATATACATATACATACATACATACATATATGTATATATTATATAATATATAATATATATATATATAATATATATATATATATATATATATATATATATGTATAATATATATATATATATATATATATATGTAGTATATATTTATTAATGTGTATATGTGTGTGTGCGCGTGCGCTCGTGTTTATGAATATGTGTATAGATATGTTTGTGTTTGCTTGGTTGTTTTATACATTATGAATAGTTTAGATATGTTTCTTTCCATACGACCACCAATAAATTATTCTCAGGTAAGAAAAAAAAATTGCAGTACTGGCATACATGTGTATATATATTCATAATCATGTATGTATATACATATACATTTTTTATTTCAATTGTGTGGACATTGATACGTATCTATGTTTACATAAACACATATGTGTATGCATACATATATATAGATAGATAAATAGATATAAATATAGATATTTATATTTATGCGATATATATACGTATATTCATATGTATATGTATATGTGTGTGTGTGATTTAAATGAATTATATATTTATCTGTAAAGAACCAAACATACATGTACATTTGAGAGCGAGTTGTGACTTTAGTTTTATATAATGTCTTTCTATACCTTCAAAGGTGTCATTGAAATAGTGTAACATCATCGGATGTGCAAATTATGTCGGATGAAGAATCAAGGTAAACTTGTTGGGATTCTATCCTGACGTCACAACATGGGTGGTTACTCTTAGACACTCGTATAATAGAAAGGGTTCACATTGTTTCCGTCAGTCTCCCTGTAGTCTCATCACCGATTCATTCTGACAACATGGCATTCAAGGCATGTGCTTGTATTTAATGAATTTAACTAAGTGATCACAAAGTCCATTTTCTTGTTAGGAATGCAGTGGTGCAAATAGACTTTAACTGGTCATCGAGACACAATAGTGTATCATTGTCACAATCCCGTTACTTTCATCAATTATTTTCCATGGTCACCGTTTCATTTCCTTTTCGTTTTTTTTTTTTTTTTTCTTTCTTTCTTTTCTTTTCTTCGTTAGTCTTCGTTTTACTGTAGATTCGTTTTGACAAAATCCTTTCTTCAGTATGTGTATGCCTAACCTGTATATCACAACGTGATTTCAAAACATTATTGCCCTGCAGGTGTTTGCACTGGCCGCCCTTGTGGTCGTCGCCATCGCCCGTCCAGATAGCCCGCCTACCTATGGCTACTCTGCTCCCACACCCTCTTACGCACCCGCAAAGTACGACTTCAACTACGCCGTCAACGACCCACCATCTGGCAACGACTTCGGACACCAGGAAGCCCGTGATGGCGACCACACACAGGGATCCTACTACGTCCTTCTTCCCGACGGTCGTCTGCAGAAGGTCACCTACAATGTGAACGGAGACTCCGGTTACGTGGCTGATGTGACCTACGAGGGAGAGGCTCAGTACCCCACCCCAAAGGCCTCCTATGGTCCTCCTCAGCCTTCCTACAAGCCACCTACTCCCTCATATGCCTGAGAAATAATACCGTGACTAGTTTATTTATCTCGGATCTTTGTAGGTACTGTATATTAAATAAATATATATATATTGACCTATGGGAGTCTTTCAACTTCTGTGTTTGATGTTTAAATTTGCGTGTCGCTGAATTGTCAATATTTGTTTCTTTCCTTTCTTCGTGAGACCACTGACAAAATTAATTTTGAAAATTAAGGACAATAATGTTGATTATCATTACGTATATTCAAATGAGATAAAATCCTTACTTCTTATCATGCAAGCATTTATATTAAAGTTCTGTTGGAAATTTTACAGTCGTATCACTGATACTCATAAGAACAGTGCTTATTGCGACAGTATATTCAAAGTCAGTCAAAACACTTTGCCATAGGGATGAGAATTAATATCTCATCAGTGCAAGAGATGTATTTGACCGTTTTCGTTTATATCTTCAAACGAAGATGTAATTAAATTCATTACATTCTCATCCAATGGTATTCCTATATTTGGTTAATTTAATGTCATTAACCTTGAACCCTATACAGCAGATTAATTCAGTTTGTTACGTGATTTTTTTCTCACTTCTTTTTTTTCTGCCAAGGAAGTTTTCCCACTGGTGTCAGTATATGACTATGAATTATTTTAACAGTTACTAGTAAAATACACGAAAAGGGCGCCTGGTCAGACTCCTAGATATCTTTGTCATTTCATGTTGTTTCTGTGCATAGTTCTTTGATAATATTTGTCATACTATTTGCCATAATATGACGGTGCTCATTTAATCTCGAAAATAATATCATCAAAAGTAACGTTCTTTAAAAATGTAACATTATAAAGGTAACATCTAACATCAATGTCACCCTGTATAATGCAACTTAACGTTTGAAGAAATGTGGAAAGTATGATTACATGTATTTTTAGCTAGAACTACTGTACCTGTCTGACTAATCCCATTTTTCCATTCATTCTCCGGCTTCTTTCTTTCTTTTGTCGAATAGTTTGCCTTTTTAGTTGCTCTTCGATTTTACTCTCATTCTTTCCTTTTTTCATGTTTTGCTTATGCATTTTTTTTTTTTTTTTCTAAATTCAATTGTCTGTATATTTCCCAATTTGGCTTCTCGATTACCTGATCTAAGAAATTTTCCACTAAACGGACTACATACATACGGATGGTTATATACACTTTCCATAAGCCTCAAAATGTTGCTAAAATTATCATTCTGATCTTGCAATGCGCAGTTAGTTTATAATACACCAAATAAAATACTAAAATATTTGTATTTCAATGACATTCATATTCATTTTAAGTCATGCAGCTCGTGTTCTAATTATGTTTAATATTCAGATATTCACGTTACAGGCTAGTTATATTCATTGTCATCTATATTTCGATTTGTTAGCTATTTCCCCAAGTAGTAATACATAAAGTAAATTTTGTTACTATACTCGTTTTTAAGTATTCCCAACCTGTTGTAGTTAAAACATCTCACACTTTATTGAAATTAATGTAGCGTTTTGGACAGACGCTCATGACACAGAGCTTACAGAATCAATATCCAATCATAAGCAAAAGACAAGCGCGTGATTCTGACTGAAGATTTTAATGGTTCCGTTTGGTAGCCATGCTCGGGAAATCACTTCCGTACATGTTCTGATACACACATCTGTCTAATATTGTTGTGGCTAAAGAACTGTCTACACGGTTTGTTGTGAGTTCGACATGGCATGAATAAATGAGTAGATATTCACCTGTTAATCAGCATGAAACCGCTTTGTAAAAGGTATGACCACCCCTCGTTTTTCTTTCTTTCTTCGACAAGAGAGAATGTGAATCTTGGGATTTTTTTCTACATTATAAATACAATTTACAAATAGGCCTTCAAGCGTAAGTGTAACACCGAAGGGGAAAACTCGGCCACGAGAGGTCTCAAGGTAATCCTGCTGGGATGATACTGACGTCACCGTAAGGGCGGAGTTTTCTCTTTGACTCATATATAATGGAAAAGAATTTTCTCTCCGTCAGTCTAATCCCAACTCTTAGCATCATGGCATTCAAGGCATGTATTAGTATAACTCATTAATCCAGACTCTAAGAAATAATGGATTTGTTCAGAAATTTCACTTCGTTGTATTGTAAGTACTAACAATAATATTGTGTTGTAGGTATTTGTTCTAGCCGTCCTCGTGGCCGTCGCTATCGCCCGTCCAGATAGCCCGCCT